TTTTGACTACAAGGATGAGTCAGGGTTCCCTAAGCCTCCATCTTACAACGTGGCCACAACACTGCCTAGTTATGATGAGGCAGAGAGAACCAAGGCTGAAGCCACAATCCCGCTGGTTCCTGGGCGGGTGAGTAGGCTGGTCTGCCTGGATGTCCTTCACATTTCTGCTGTACAATTTCTGGTTTAACTCCTGCCCATCAAGTGTCTAGACTCTTTTTTAAGCTTTCTGGGCTGGTGGTATCACACACCCCAAGAGCTCTGGAGCTGATGGTTTGTTTTTTTTAATCTTCCTCCGGGTTGCTGTGATGATGTAAGAGCTCTCAGAAATGCCACCATGTGCTGTGCAGATTAGCCTGGCAAGCTGACAGAGGAACTGCCCTGTGTCTGTGTGCACTGTCACTGTGGGTTTTTATTGGGGTTTGGTTGTTTTTTAAAAGATTTAAGATTAACTGTTCATCCATCTAGCACATCTATGCTGAATACTCCTGTCCCTTACTTAGTTGACTTTTCCAGAGTTCAGTGTAGCTGATAGAAGGCTGATAAAACCATTCTGTTGGAGTAATTATTTTTTAAATTTTAATTTCTTTTTTTTCTTTTCAATATGATCTCTTGTTACCTCTTCCTCCACCCCTGCTACCTTTATATCTTCACTGCTTGTTATACTTTTCACAGAAGCCAGATTCCTTCCTGAGGTGGTAAGGGTTGTTTTTGTTTTATTGAATAGGGGAATTCACAGTAGAACAAGAACATGCCCAATCTTGACTGTCTTAGAAGGGCAAGATACCACCAGTGATGTAGTATTTCATGACCTGCACCATTTCAGGATGAGAAGCAGGAATTTTTTCTGCTTGCATTTGAAGCCTATTCACATAAATGTCTTATGTCCCTTTGATTTGCAGGATGATGACTTTGTGACACGGGATGACTTTGATGACACTGACCAGCTGAGGATAGGAAATGATGGTATTTTCATGCTCACCTTCTTCAGTAAGTACATGGTGGAACTCTACTTTTTTTCCAGGCAGTGACACAAACCAGCTGGAGTGATTTTCACATTTGTTTTTAGGTAGCAGCAGGAAAAAACAGTGTGCAAGAGGGTTATGTTTGTTTTTTTTTTTCCTGGAAATGTAAAGGAAGCTTGACCTGCTGCTTTTCTCCTGCTTTCTCAGTGGCATTCCTCTTCAACTGGATTGGATTTTTCCTGTCTTTCTGTCTGACTACATCAGCTGCAGGACGATATGGGGCCATTTCTGGGTTTGGACTGTCTCTTATCAAATGGATCCTTATTGTCAGGGTAAGTTGTGTAGTGAAAAAACACATACATAGACACTGGTACCCTTTTTCCCTGGCTCATTTTTATCCCATTTATACTGAAGTTAGTTATAAATTTAGCCTTTTATACCAAAATAGATTTTGAGCCCCTTACTCACTGATAACAGAGATTTTTCATCATTCTGTCCTGGTTATATGCTGGAATTATTACTGAAAGAAAAGAGAAGAAAGATTGCACAGCCAAGTATGGCTCTGTCTGACAAAGCATTGGATCAAAGTGTGTTTATGTGTTGAGCAGTGACAATGGTCTGATCCCTGTAAAACCTGATCCAGCTCAGGCAAACCCTGCTGTCAGCAGAGAGATCTGCCTCTCGTGGGTGATGTTCCTTTGGTGCTCCTCTGAGAAAAAAAACAGCTCTCTAAGATGTGGGATAGCTGTGAGCGTGGCTGATAGGGTGAGGGAAAGAAGGACTAGAGAAATAGGAGCCAGGGTTGCTGTTGCTGGAGGAAGAGGAGGCAGCTGCCGCCTGTCATGGGATGGAGAAGCCCGCTGGTGCCCTCTGGTGTGTCCTGCCTGCGGCACAGGCAGCAGGGGAGCAGGAGGAGTACACTGCCCTGGTTTGCTTTATTTCCATATAAACTCCCAGCATATCCAGGCTGTTGGAACATCCACTGGGCTCCCTCCCCTCCGCAGGTCAGGCAGGGAGAGGAAAGGTCTGAACTGGCCAGAACTGCTTTGTGTGGTGGGAGCCTGGGTGGCCGTGCTGAGCACAGACCTCTGCTGAGGGAGCATTTCTGAAAGTTGGAGGGGAAGAAAGACAGCCCTTTCTGGGGGGGGAAAAAAAGAGGCTGTGGATTTGCTGATGATGGAGGAATGGAAGGAAAGAAAAAAAAAAAAAAGTAAAAATATTTTTTTGAGGGACTGTGAGAAAATACCAGAAAAGCTTGATCTGGAACCTGTGAATGAAGGTGTCTGAGAGGAGCCCAGAGGATCTGAGGTCAAACTTTGAATTTTAAGCAAAAAATCTTATTAGCTGTGCATAAGTGGAAGTAGAGAGCATTGTTGTTAAGCTGCCAATTCATACTGTGTCTCTTTGGGCTAGGAACTGTAATTTGTAAATACAGTATCTGTTAACGTTTTCTGTAGAAAGTCAAGATTTTTGGGGTCATCTTGTAACAGTGCAGTTAGGAACTATTTGCTGGAGTAAGAGCTCTTGACAGAAACAGGTGGCATTAACTCTGGATTTTATTTAAATTTTGATATCAAGCTTACATTTTGTTAGGCTTTCAAACCTGAATAAAATTAAAACAAAAAAAAATTATACTGCATTATCCACTGACAGTGAAGTTCCCCGAGGTCTGAGAGTTGGTTTGATGGGTGTGGGAAAAGCTGAAGTAGAAATTGTTGGAGAGACCTTGTTCCCTGCAGCCTGTGCAGTGGAGGCCATGTAGGATGTGTGTACAGTGGGCTTGGTCTGCTCACTGCTGAAATCAGTGAGAAAACATTTGGGTTCAGAAACTGCCATCTGCTCTAACTGGATTTTTTTTTTTATTTATTTTTTTCAGTTCTCCACCTATTTTCCTGGTTACTTTGATGGCCAGTATTGGCTCTGGTGGGTCTTCCTTGTACTAGGTGAGTGTTCTGGGGGAAAGAGGGAATGCATCTTGAAACTCTGTAAAGTGCAATTAGGGCTTTTGTGAGCACAGCTTTACTGGCTATTAAAACGTGTGTGTAGAGGTGAAACTGAAATGTGACCCTCCCAGCACTCCTCCCCTTGCTGAATGCCTGCTGGGTGTTAAAGGCACACACAGACACTGTCCCTTTGTTGTCATTTCTTGGTGGCAGCATCCTGTTTATCATCCAGGAGTACAGAGGAGAACAATGCTTGTCTTTAGAGTAACTGATGTTTCTGTTCTTCATCTTAAATGGAAGAGTGGGTTGTGGTCTGTCTTCTTTTTTTTCCTCCCTCCTTTGGAAGGGACTGGATCTCATGTGGAGTCAGAAGTTTTGTGATTGCCCAAGGGAAGTTTGTTTTTAAGACTGTCTGAAATGGAAAGATTAGGTGTCATTGATACAAAAAAAAGAGCTGTATTTAATCAGCTGTTGTGCATCCCAGCAACCTGGGTTCCTCTGTGGTGGTACTGGGGAGCTGAACTGACTGCTCCTTTTCTACCTGAAGAAGTAAAACCTGTGTTAACTGGACAAATGTGTTTCTTCCATCCAGGTTTTCTGCTGTTCCTCAGAGGATTCATTAATTATGCAAAGGTTAGGAAGATGCCAGATACTTTTTCCACTCTCCCCAGAACCAGAGTTCTCTTTATTTACTAAAGGTAAACTTTCTACTTTCTTGAACTTACGTTTTGTTTTTAACTCTATTTGTAGTGACTCTTTTAGGCCAGACTTTTCTTGACTAGTTTTAAAACACAAGGCATCAGAAAACAGTTGTTTCTTGGTATCCCATTTGTGTCTTCTGTTCCTGCACAGTCCAGACTGACTTGGTGAGGAGCAGAGGAATATTTGGCATTTCTTCCTGAGTTTTTGCTCTGAGGAATCCTATATTGATTGGATTCCATTACTGTGTTTGGCAGGTGTGTCTTTCAGAATAGATCACATGCCTGAGACATGTGGTATGTCCTAAACATGGAATCAGGGAATGGTTTGGGTTGGAAGGACCTTAAAGACCATCTAGATCCAACCACCTGCATGGGCAGGAACACCTCCCACCAGCCCAGGCTGCTCCAAGCCCCATCCAACCTGCCCTTCAACACTGCCAGGGATGGGGCAGCCACAGCTTCCCTGGGCAACCTGGGCCAGGCTCTCCCCACCCTCATAGTGAAGAATTTCCTTCTAATGTCTCACCTAAATCTCCCTCATGAGTAAAGGTCACAAAATGTTGTTAGAAGATTGTGCTGGTGTCTTTGGCTCATGTCCCAGAAGGAACAAATGGTCTGAATTTTGCATTCTGTTGCTTTTTCTGCCTAGTTCCTGAAGAAACAGAACTCCTGCACACCTCTGCTCTTTAAAAGCTCTCCCACAGACTTGAACATACTGTCCTGCCTGAAGGTCTTTCCAGACCTTAATGCCTACAAGTCTTTAGCTTTAAGGCTGAACTGTCTGCCTTCCTAATGGGACTTTAAAGAAGGAGGCTTAAGTAGTTGAGCCCTTA